AACATCGAGTTAATCCCTCGGGAAAACAGCATTGAGAGAAACGTAAATGTTAGAAAACTTCGACCGAGACTCTAAAAATCTTTCTAACACTGATGTTCTTCACTTGCATTCGCACGTAAAATATTTTATGAGATTTAATAAAATAACTTATTTAATATTCACTTTAGATACAATCTTTAAAATAAATCTCATACATTATTGCTCCACTCTTTTTTTAAATGCTTTGTTCAATTTTTTATCGATTTATTAAAAATCGAGATTGAAAGAGCTCGCACTAATTATTATATGAAAAATTGGGTAAAATGAGTTAGTAGTCACACATACATATATGTAGGTATATAATACAGCTTATAACGTGATGGATAAAAAATGTCATAGATATAAGGCTTAATAAATGGACAGTTTTTGAACTATAAATTTGTAAAATTTATTAAGAAAGTTATTGGTATATCAAAGGTGTGTTCACATTGAACACAAGTTTTACATCTTTGATGTATCATATCTCAAAAATTATATCCATCATAAAAGCATTGTATCTATGACATTATTAAAGCATTGTATAATATTTGTGACATTTTTTATTCCCATAAGCGTAGTGGAAAGAACTCAGATGTGCTCGTTCTTGAGGTGAATTTTGTATGATTCTGCACAGATTCCAAATGTCATTTAAATATTTGCATCGCGGCAATTTTGAAATGGCAGCTCGAGAGACCAAAATGAGTACTTAGATTTTAAAGGTTCTCCACCACCCTCGCCGATCGATTTTATCGGAGATCTTTTTTTCTTTATAAATATACTCACTCGTAAAAAACTGAACTACTATAAATTATAGTGATCCATTTTTGCGGGTAAGTATTTATATATTTGTTCTACATTTATATTTTTATTTCTAATTATTTTACCTTATATTTCGCTAATCATTTCGTATCAAAGGAGAGCGGATAAAAGTCGACGATTTTTGCTCCTAATTGGAAAGTGAAATATGTACGTTTTTTTATAGTTTTTGGATTGCAGAATCATATAAAGCAGTTTTCCATCTGCGAAGTTACATCTGCAACGTCGCTACGATGATTCTAATAAAAGAAATATTGTATATAACATCCAAATTAAAATAGAATAGAAAAATCAATCAATATTAAAAAAAAATATTTATTAAAGTTCTCTTGAAAATAATTATATAATTGAATTTTTCAATTCACTATTTAGTCAGACATTCATAAAAATAATTATACATTTTTTAAAAAAGATCTTAAAAATATATACATTTATAAAATTTCAAAATAATTTTTGAAATAATCTTTTTTCTCTAATTATCATTTTTAAATTATTGTAAAATAAAACGATTTGAGAACAAAAAAAAAAGACATTGATTTTACATAAGCAAAAAATGATATTTACCGCAAGGTTGTTTTGCCAGTACCCGATGTCTCTTCCAAGCCTCTTCCTCCTCTTAGAATTAAGTTGATATTCTCTAGTCTTTCGCGCGACACTGCGGTATTTTACATTTACAAAACTCAAAATAGAATTTCCATTTTGGTCGGTGGAATTAACACCACACGTCGACGATTATATGCATGCGAAACACTCGATGAATGCCGTACAAGGATTAAGTTTCACATGAAAGAAGACGAAATCGATCGTGTCGAGTCCACCTTTAGTTTACGCAAAAAATCATGTTTAATTGATTCAAGCATACGCCCCAACTACTAGTTCTAGTGAGACACAAGTGATGCAGTACCACGAGTGATTCGAAGAAGCTGGCAGATGTGACGAGCGCTTCTAATAAGAGAAAAGTTGATATCCATTGCCGAGTCTAACAATCTAGACAATCTAGGAAATAGAATCCAGCCCCTCGTCACGAGCAAAAAATTAATCAGCTTAGCTCTGACCAAATCAGATTAAAGACATTGAGACGTTAGTAAATAAAGACCGAGAAATGAGCGCTCTGACCAGAGTAATACAACTCCTTTTTGGGTGTCCCAGAAACGAATCCGAATCAATCGATCGCTTCTTATCACTAAGGGCCGAACCGTTTGCCGATAGACATAGCGTGTCCTCAATTAACAGCAACAGTAATTGCTAAACTGCACCATTGCGGAGTGCGTGACATGCGGTCGGCATTACCTCATGCCCGGAGCACTTGGCGTGAAAGTTACAGCCATGATGAACCATGGTGAACATTTTATGCAGCAACGTCTCAATAAGAGTTCCTTACTATACAAATATCAAAGATATTATACCATCGTCGAACAATCGTCTACAATTCTATCGAATGGGTTTTGTGAAAAGTTCATTAGTCTGATAATTTCAATAGCACTCTCGAACCAAACACGCGACGAACCGACTGCGATTTGTTCGCTTTCAATTAAATCGACGACGGTAGCTTTCCCATTGTTGGATTTTTTACATGAAGAGAACGATTTTATTCAAATATCTAAAAATTTTAGCTAGATATATAATTCAGCCAGAGCTAAAAATTTTTAGATACTTAAAAAAAATCGTTCTTTTTTTGTTTATCCTTGGGGTACTGAGCCTTCCCACTACGCCGTGAGAGGACAGATATCATCTAGAAAAATGTAATATATTCTGAAATAATTATCTGAATTATCTATATTACTATACTCGAGTTACTATACGAGTAATCGGTTAACTTTTAAAAATGAGTATCATACACACGTCAATTCGTCACCACTGCGAAATAAATACAGAGCAGATAGAAGAGTTGAATTTTTTATTGTGATATCTGCAAGATATGATTAGAATCAATCGAATGGGCTGAGATTAAAAAAAAAAGAAAAGTTTCTTTTATTATCGACAAATAATTTCAAATTACGCTCCATTTTTTATACGGATCGTATCACGAAAGATGCTCGAAAACGAAAAATTAATTAAATTATTAACTACACGCAAAGTGCGTAGTTAATAATGTTGCAAATATTCCAATTGTGTTAATTGTGTTAAATAAGCGATTATTAGTTTGTAATAACTTTATATTACGAAATCCGTGCAATACTTTTAATAAAAGATTGACGCATTACGACCTTCTGTTACTTTTGAATTGTTTAATTCTATCATTCACATTTTATTCCTCATTCTTAATCCGGGAAAAGTAATAGATAAATATTCTAAAGTAATGCAAAAATATTTTTGTATTCACTTTCTAATATAATTAACAGTAATGTAAATACTATAACTGACTGTACCTTTCAAAAAGTCAACGTAAGACTTTATATGAACCGAAAAACACATTAGAGAGCATTGTTAAGCGAGCCGGATTTTCTTTTCACAGTGAGATTCCATTCTGACAAATCGCGGTGACGCCTTCCTAAGTATATCTCCGGCATCTTTAAATCACAAAAGATTCACTTCGGCTTTTCGTCCCGTGTCTCGTGTTTCCTTTCGCGATGCGTGTTGTATCGGAGATTTTATCTCGACGTTCATCGGCGTCTTACCCTCTCCGTTCTCATTATCTGTAGACAGCGACGTCTTAATAGCGCGAATTTAGCGAGAATTTGGAGAGCTGTCCTCGTAAGAGCGACTATCGATGGTAAACTCTGACGACGTGCGATAAAATGCTTTCTCCTCGCCATAAACGTCTCGCGTTATCATCGTTAGCGTCCTCATCCGTCGTTCCGCGTCATTATCCACCGCCCGATACTTTAAAGTACAGCACACCTGCTGTAGGAAGCGAGATTCAGCGTCGACTCAGATTATTCTCTTCCTACTCTCTCTTTCTCTCTCTCTCTCTCTCTCTCTCTCTCTCTCTCTCTCTCTCTATGCTCTCACTTAAAATCTTATCTTGCGGTTGAAATTAGAGCCTAAGTACTCTTTTCCGTCGTTTCTTATGCAGGAGGTAATTTAGTTTTTTTTTTAATTGTCGATAAATCGTTGCTGTATTAAGCTAAAAATAATAATACGTCTCTTTTGCTACATTAATTTCAAAAAATTATTCTTTATTATTAGCACGTTTTTAAGAAGTTTAAAAATTAAAATCTGGCGATTTTAATGTTTGAGGTAAAAAGAAATAATGAAGTGTAATTTTATCTATCAAATCTCTAAGTGAATTAGGTGCGCTGGAGATACTATATATGCTTCATTCGGAGAACATGGGCCTGCATATCGAATCTTTTCACTAGCGCGTCCAAGTTCCACCCAATTTAGCCGGTGAATGTCTCCACGTAATGGAAGGAAAGACCCTCTCTGCGAAATGTCGAAGTTCAACTACCGCATCTACCCTATACATGTTGTGCACCAGATACGCATCTCCTTGTCATTGCGCCTAGCTCTTACCTATATGCATTGCATGATTCGATACTACATTGGCATATAATGCAATTTCTGTATGGTGCGTGTGGATGTCTCGTTTCATTCACTGTCGATATCTCGGTTTTATGCGATTAAAAACGATAAACTTCTCTTTAATAATAGACGTATTTCTGGGATCTTTTATAATACTCGTATTTGCTCAACTTTCACATAATACCTAATTTTGAATATTGAGGTATTGCGAAACTAATTGCAAACTTATGAATTATTCTAAATCATAATTTAATTGGTTATAGCAAAATTAAATCAACTAACAATCTATAATTCATATGTACATTATAATACAATAAAATGTACGTCGTACGAAATTATAAATAGAATTCTATCTTGAATTCTGACGTAAATTATAGAATGTCGAAAGTGCGCTTAATTAATAATCCTAAACTAAATTCAGATGATGAATTTAGATAATATATTCCAAAATAGTAACTTTAATTAAATTCCCTGCTCTCTGCCTTCCATGACACCAGTTTCACTGCAAGGAATTGATACGGCTACTAAAATACTAATACCGGCACGACGCAAGGTGCTCGAAGCATTCGAACCCGTATGTCGCCAGACGACGACCGCTTTTAATTAAATTTTTATTCACTGCCATAACACGCTCGCATATTCAATAACTAACTTCGGTACAGTGGAGTGAATTGTTTTATGTGGAACAATTTATTTTGCAGCTGGAGCCGCTCCTGAGGAAACTAACCAAAGGTCCAGTTCTGCACACAATCGCCACTCTCTCACGAAGGGTAAGTTCTACGAACACAACTGACTGCATTTAAGGCATTTTCGTTTGTTGTAATAGAATACTATAGTTTATCGCGCCGAAAGGATCGCCATTATATTTCACATTATATTTCAAAATAAACAATTAAATGATTTGCTATTTTTAGCAACAAACATAAATAAAAGCTCTAATTTAATCAATTCGTAATTTCCTAAATTTCCGTATAAAATTATGTTAAAGAAATACCTTTGTTATGAAAATGATATAATGCGGTGTTTTTTTTTTGTGCTTTAAAATTTAATTTAATTTTTTCTCTTTTTTTTCTTGTCTATCTTATAATGTAATCTGACTGATTTTCGAAACTCTAAAGCGCCGGCTTGAAAACTTTTTATTGCCTCGTAGCAAGTGTGATGTTCGATGTGATATTTCTCACGATGACTTTTTGACATTTACACGGCGGATTTGAACGCGGTGCACTTTTTAATATCGCACTTCGTACCTCCCGACATTTCCGTGATGCTTGAAAGCACAGCTTGATCATTTATTTGTAATATAAATAGTGACACAAACGTATGTACGTGCAAATATATATATATATATACAGATCAGTTTTCATTAGAGAAGCTTGAAAGACATTTGACATTTTGAGCATGTACTTTCAAAACGCAAAGAACCAACCGAATTGCTCAAAGTGTTCACTTATAATTAGATTTTCTACATGTCTGTCAGTATAAACGCTACAGTTAAGATAAATTATGCTAATTTGAATAGTAATAATATCAAATAATCTACTTCATGAAATTCCTCAATTCGTTCATTTAAAAAATGACTAAAATTGTTTTGCAAAATTACACGAGAATAATCAGAATTTGCCAAATATTTTGCGTACATGGACAGAATGATTTTGTATGTCGAAATATTTAAAAAAATTCGCTAAATACAGATTCGTAAATAATTTTTTTGGTCTATCAAAATAATTATGTAGAGCACTCAATCTGGTTGTCTAAATTTTTTACAGTATTGTTCATCGTGCTTGAGTTTCTTACATTAAATGTAATGATTCAGTTAAATTAATTTTAATATTATTTTCTAGCTAAATTTTTAGATACTTCGACCAAATCGTTCTTTCTGTGTAAATTCAAAATCTTCGTCGAATTCTCGTAAGAATGTAGGTTGCTGCATCACCGAGATATTCCACTGTCGATAACGATATTAATCTCGCGCGGGAAACCACGTAACTGCTTTCCAATCTGTGGTAGAATTGAGAGTACTATCGAGTCGTGATGAATCCGAAGTACGATCTCTGAGTCGTGGTAGATAACAAATGCAATTCTCCTAGTTCAACCTGCGAAACGGTTAAGAGGATTTAATAACGCTTCAAATGCAATTCGCGCTTTTGTGGGAGGCGGCACTGTTGCATTAGTTTAATCAATTGTGAAAAGCGCTTATGAAATTGTTAATAAATCCTTCATGTGGCCGGAAAAATCACGCGCGTGGTAATGCATAAAAATTTAATTCGAAACAAGGGACACGATGCGTAATTTATTATATGATTGTATAATTAAACACATCTAAGCATCTGGTATAATTAAATACCTAACAAGGTCCATGTTGAATGTGTGTGCGTACGTGTAACTCGCACCAGATAATTTATTACAATACGTACAACATATTAATTTATACTTAACTATGTGCAGTTCAAAGTTTAATGGAAAGTTTAATTCGTCTCTTATTTTAATAACGGATTTTATGAGAATAAAACAAAAGAAGAAAGTAGGAAAATATTATCTGGGGGACATTCATGTGTATGTCTTTCTCCGAGTTACTTTCTCTAGTTTACTTAAAAATTAATGAAGCACTTGTACAATATTTAAAGTACCTTTGTTTAACTTGAAAGACAAAGAGAATTATCGAGGCTTTAAATTCGAAATATAAATATCGTCCGTACTCAAGAAGCACGTTCGCTCGTTAAATTAAACACTAGCATGCTAGGGCGTACGTGAGAAATGAGAACAATTTCAATCGTTATCCATGGCCTTTTTATTAAAAATTTACCTACATAAAATTACTCTACGCGCACATCGAAAAAAATATATTTTTCTAAAAATTTATTTCATTTTCAAAAAATATATTTTAATAAGTGTAGTACAATAAACACAATTTATTTTGCATAAATTAGAAATTTAAAACATAGTATATATTAAATATCAGAGTATAAATTAAATATCAACAACAAATCATAAAAAATGAATAACTTAAAATAAAAATTTTTCTAACATTTGTTCTTTTATATCGATTTATCCATCTGCAAGTAAGAGATGGTGATTTATCTTTACAATGATATATTCCTTCTCAGATATAATTTATATATGAATATCTATAGGCGTCACTCGACGCGGTAATTATCGCTTCAGCAAATGTGAAAAACACGATCGTCGATAAGAACACCTCGTTACTTGCGGCAACACCTCATAGATCATTCGCATGACTTCGACTAGCGCATATCTATTCGCATTCTACATCGCCACTCGAGCAAGGTCGGAGATAGAACAGTCAAGTGAATGAATGGCAGATTCGAGAGGAAAAGCCGAGGAGGTGGAAAGAAGTAAAGGGAGAGAATTAGGAAGACAACCTCCACAAAAGCGACGGATTCCATCAAGAGATGGAAGCGACGGATTCCATTGTTTTCCGACCCACTTCCAAGCGAAGGGAGATTAACAGAGCTATGTGTATCCACTGGCGGATTTTCCAGCGTTTGAGCTTCCAAGACGACAAAGGTTATGACTGCATGATAGATAAACCACCGGTTCGAATGAGCGCATTCCTCCGGGCGACAGGCTGCGACGGCTCATTGTATCCCATTTGTTAAATTGTGTCGGTTACCGCATTGTATCTATCCTTGCATTTCAAAATTACGGATATGTGGCTGTAAATATTTTCGTCAGATCGGGATTTTAATGAATCATCTGCTTAAAATACTGCATATTATATACACACTGAAAGAAAAGATTGGTTGCTGCAACAATTTAGATAGTAAAAGATGGAATAGCATTTTTATATGGTTGCAGCAACCATATAAAAATGCTATGCTATATTTTATTATCTAAATTATTGCAGCAATTAATCTTTTTTTTTTTTCAATACGGAAAGAACAATTTTGCTGAAGTATCTGAAAATTTAAATATATACAGGTCTGAAAATGATTTTGTTAGACCATATATCAAAATAATTATGTAGAACGCTCAAACATAATGAGCAATGCTACAAAAAGATTTTTTTACAATCAGCAAATATTTTAACTTGAGCGACTTACATAATTATTTTAATGGTCTAACAAAATTATTCTCAAATCTACATCTATAACTAGACTTTTAGATATCTATTTTATTACAAAACTATTCTTACCGTGTGGACAGCGGTTTATTGTAATAAGAGACTTTTTTTGTGATTCATCAAAAAGCAGTATTTATACGATCTTGTTAAATCAAAATCTAACAATTTCATAAGATAAATTTCTTCATTGTATGAATTTCTAATTTTTTTATATTTCGGAAATTTACGCGTATTTTATATAAAATGTTTATACAAAATACTTTAACGCTTCTTCGCATTCCGTTTCTAAGCATTTCGATTTCTCATTTAACTCCAATTCCTCGCACGTTGTATTAAATCTTATTAAAGAAATCTGTACAAGGAAATCTTATCACATGCCGCATATTCACCAGACTGTGCTCCTTCCGGATTATTACTTATTTCGATCGATGCAGCACAATCTTGCTGACCAGCACTTCAAAACATATGATGAAATAAAAAAGTAGCTCGATGAATGGGTTGCTTCGAAGGACGAACACTTTTTTATCGCAAAATGCACTTATTGTCAAAAAAGTGGGAAACAGTTATAGTTAGTGGTGAAAAATATTTTGAATAAAATATATAATAATTTAACATCTCCCTAAAATAAACGTGTTTTTTTGACAAAAAATTCTTCAAAACTAACCGGAACACCTAATATTTAACGCGATCGCATTGTTCTTCATGCTCTGTTCCATTCCATTCGTCAAAGACGGGTAAATTAATGGCGATATCGTGTGGAGGACAGCTTTCAGAGAGAGGATGGATCGAGACGCATTGTGCGTTTCGATCCGAATAACCAGGGAAATTAATAGCTCTAGAGATTGCGTGCAATATCAAACAGTGCATTTTGCATCTACGTCCTCGAAAATAATGTTCTAACGAATATTTTTACCTTCGCTCTTTAGAAGTTTCTTGTTTTTCATAGTCGAACAAGAAAAATCTTTTTGATTACGATAATGGACGAAAGAGAAGATATCTGGCACGCGCCTTGTAGAAAATTGTTTTTCTTCTCACTTTTTTATCTGTAAAAATTACATGTTATGCCCGCAGTATTCTGTATTATGTTAACATTGTTTATCCAATTGTAAAATGTTGATTCTTAATTAAATATGAGAATGTTGTAAATTGTTTTACTGATATTTAGACACACTATTAAATTCATAACTTACTATTTATACCCAATTTGAATTTCTATACGCCATTGTTTCTTTTCAATACATCATTGATTTAACTTTAAAATATTAGACTTCAATAATTTAATTTTATGAAATACACTAAATTTTTTTCAAATTTAGTTTATTATCTACTAAGTGCATATGTTATGGACGTTGTTTACTTTGAAACTAATTTTAAAAATGGTGGTTTGATTTACATTTTGTGACATACATGCAAGTTAGAGATAAAAAAATGTTATTGAACTCAAGGCATTTGATATTTAACGAAATTTCTTTGATATTTAACGATCTTCAAAAAGATTTATTGGCGAAAGTACGATACGATGGCACAGATGTGAGTAATAAAAAGTTACTACTTCAATAATTCACAATTTTGCAAATTGTTCAATATAAAGTCTATTGATTTTCCCATAAATAGTTAAGTAAATAGATAAGACGATATCAAACTTTCGTACAGCGATTTTTTGCGAATTTCTCGACTCTTTACTTTTCCTTTTTGTTTTTAGAACACTTTACTCAACGTCTTCAACTGTACTTGAGCGAGTATATCGAGTATTTCCCTAGTGATTCGATACGAATTCGTCTTTCAAATTATATTTACGTGCAAGTGACTCTCAACAGTTTCCTATCTTCGATAAAAGGAGAACGAGTCTTATATTACTACCATATGCTATTTGAAAAATCCAAGCGCTGTTTTCATCGGAGGGAACCCTCTTCTGCATGTTGCGACGTAATTCGATATTCGTGACGTCGCAAAATGTCTTCTTTTCATATCATTTGCCATAGTCTTCGGCATTTCATCTCTCGTGTTCTTCGACATTTTTTTCTCTTTCTCGTTCTCGTTCGATTCTAATGACGTTCCGTATTACTAATGACATGCCTAATTATCTTCAGCAGTAGATGATACTGTTTCCTCCTTCTTTGTTCTCACACTCTTTCCTTTCATCCAGTATTTGCTATCAGTAGTAGGTAATAATATTGGCAGCTTGGCAGTCGTTCCCGTTGACACTTGTCGAAAACAAACCGCGAAGGATGAAAATAAGCGAGCCGCGTTGTAATTAATAAGCGTAGGGGAAAAAGTGGGGTACATCGGATTAATGCAGTATTGATGCAAAGCGAAAGACTTTGCTGGCACCGATCGTGTATAACGTGGTGAGATAACGAGGTGTCGATCAATATATCCATCGCTCGACGAAAATGTAATTTCGAATATAGAGATTTAATAAATAACTTCGTTACGTAGATACAGTTAACAGTATTTATTTATTGCGAAGTTTCAAAAGGCCACAGCATAATTAGATAGTATAATTTTAAGCAACTCTTGTCGGAGAAAATAATATCATTTAGCAAGTAATTGCGGTCGAATAAATTGCAATATCATGTAACGTATATGACACTCTGTCGTCATTAGGTAAACAATATTGACTAAAATCAGCTGATGCTATCTACAGCAATACACACTTTGATATCATTGATCATTGAACATATATTTTTCGCTGACAGTGGTGCTAACGTTTATCGCGCGAAGAGTATTACGAATCACGTGAACTTTATAAAAAATTCTCAGAGAAAGTGTACACCATCGAATTTGTCTTCCGCAGAGCAAACGATGCACTGGTTCGCCCAGATTGGTGGTGACGACTCTCTCTCTTTGACAGGTATGCTCGGGTTGAGCTCAACGTGCTTCGATAACATTGTGTGAATTGTGTGTGGTACCTATCTCTTTGCAACATTGAGAGAATCGCCATGTTTATTGCGTTGAACATCTAAAAGCGAGATTGCATTCTAACCCGTTGCATATTTGTGCGCAGAAACACCTCTGATCTTTCGAGATAATTATTTATAAATTTATAATTATTTATAAAGCGAAAAGTAATATATCGTGATTTGTTACCCAAAGAATTTCATATGATTTTTTGGTGTTGCTAACGAAAGATTAACGTATCCCAATGCAATAATTTTAATATAATATTTTTGAAATTGAGATAATTTATCTGTGTTATAATTAGAAAATGCTAAATAAATCTGTAAATAAATGCTAAAAATGTCTAAATATATCTGTTGGTATTCGATTTTATGTAACAAAGAGTGTGACAAATTCTGATGTGAATTTTATTTGCATCTCGATTTGTACAAGGATCTAATTTAACTAATTGTAAGCATGAGAATTGAACAATATCATCTCTTAATGTGAAAAATATATATGAATAAATTTATATGAATCTGAATTATGGAATGTTATTTAATGACAAGCCATAAAATATAACATTGCTACAGAACATAATATTTCCTACTCGCGTTTATTGAGCCTATAAAATATTGATAAAGCCTGCTTTTGCTAGGCTATTTTTTAACAAAACTGCATTGAAAAAGTCTGGTTGCATTAATTGGAATTCTGGTTGAAAATAAGTAAATCAGAATTTTCTAGTTCGTTGATCTTCAATCAGAATTGTTCTCAGTGCAACGTTAAACGTTTTTATTTTTTGGTCGACACATACTATTTCGAAAGATATATAAAAATCGAGTTCATCCTGCAACGAATAACAACGCTAACGAGTTCTGTAATTTGACAATTGTGTAACGGAGTGCGTGTTCGACGAATAATGGTTAACGCTTTTCAGTTTGAAAACTAATCTTCCGATACGTTTATAAATTTAATAAATGATATTATAAAAAATGTATCGCTGTATATTAATATTGCAAAATATTATTGCATTCGCGAGTGAATTCTGTTTAAATGTAATAAATTAAATATTTTTGTAAAAATGTTTTCACTTTATGTCTTAAAAATGTTAGGTGAATATTGTTTATTTTTTAAGTAACATATTTTTACAAATCCTGACGTTATTTTCTTAATTAACATTTCTTTCTGAACTGTCAGTATAATTTAACAGGATTTGTATAGTGTTAAATAGAATACTGAATGTTATGACATTTTCTGCACAATTTTCATCTTGATTCATTATTGATAATAATAAAATTGGCTGGTAAAATGTGACGTACTTTTTGCGCTACTGCGCAATTTTCAGCTCGTCTTGAGAGCTTCTTAGCGAATGCAGCTTACATTTTTAATATTCAATGAAAATGGGTTTTCTTTTCACATTATGATAATCTCGTGTTTTTATCGTATTTATAAAACGTATATCTGAAGAGCAGATTTATTACACAGCCTTTTTCTTATAGTCTGATTATCTTTTCCGAAGAAATTATAAAAGGCAAACGAAGATTACGGGATGAAAACATCATTTAAAAAAAAAAAGAAAGTTGTCATGTTATATAATATTCTTGATATGAACATTAAAAGAACTAGAATGGACTATTGTTTAAAATTTTATACTCCTTAGTTTTTAATTCCTAATTATTTCATTAATAAAATTTTGTATTTATGTACCAAAAGATACCAGAACCTATCGATACTAACATCATCACGATTTATCCATTACTTTTCTTCGTTGCAACATCTGTCCACAATTTTGCATTAACACGAGCATTCACGTGCATGCAAACCATTCATTTTAACCGCGCGAGCACACATATACTACAATCACTATAGCAGGTGCATACCTTAATAACCATTTGTTCATTCATTCATACATTCATTCGTACGTGCTGTAGTCTTATTAATACTTGAATCTTACGTGTACACGCACATGTCTCGCTTTCTTCTTGGCAGATGTGAAGCGCCCGCGAAGTCTCTACGACGAGGACTCTCTCGACGGCGATCGTCCTTACGACAATGAAGGTACCAACGTTTTCAAGGGCACTGTACAGACCATTTCCTTCTTTCTCCTCAGTAAATTCTTTCTTTTTCGATAATATTAATGAGATTTAATAACGCCTTTTAATGCTAACATTCATATCAGTTAACGAATAACGATGGCAATTATTACTCATGTTAATTTTGCGTATCTATATGTTAATCTAATAATAAAAACTCATTCATGTTGAACATTATCTCTAATCGCGTCATGTATTTTACCATATTCTCTGATTAAATATTTCGTTTGTAAATAGCTATTTTTATTACTATCTTATTGTATTTTATATATACATATACATATACATATATATATATATATATATATATATATATATATATATATTCTCTATCTATTTTTTTCATGAGATAAGATTAACATATTCCTTTGATTATCTTATTCCTATACATATACATATACATACACACACCTGTCTTGTTATAAATTATTTTTAATAATTAATTATTTGGGTATTTGATATTACTTACGATATATGTTTATATTACATTTACTTTGGGAATTGTGTTTCAAATTCTAAGAATATTAATTTTCATTTGCAAACTTTCCCTTTTATTTGTGACTTATAATAATCTTTTATAATTTCGATTGTAAATTGTCTCAATGTATTAAAACCCGCTTAACTTGAAATTGATATTAACTAAATGTATAATTGAGTGAAGCTGCGATTAAAAACTTCTTCGTATAACATTCTAAAAAAAAAAGATGCGTTGATCGAATTCACTCGTTTGTGGAAAACAGTCAGCACAAACTAAACATTTGCAATTAGTTTTTTTTTTTTTTTTTTTTTTTTTGGAAGTAGCAAGCGGATACTGAATATTTTGGTTTCGCGTGATTCGCAGGACGGGAGTCGACGGGAAGCTCGAAGGAGTTGGACAGGGCGAAGCTCGTCCGCGAGAGGCAGAACGAGGAGCGGCAGCGGAAATTGGAGGAGCTCAGGCAGCAGGCTCTCGCCGCGCAACGCTTCCGCGAACAGCGTGAGGAAGAGCGACGAAGGCGCATCGATGAACTCAGATCGCGTGATAACGATAGGTTTGTCGATTTAAAATGCCGCAATTAAGAGACTTCACAATCGATCCAATTGACAAATTAATTTCGTTAATTTTAGATAAAGAATATAAAGAACAAATTTGGATTAAATCCTTTCCCGCTTAAATTACGTGTACCTTGATATTTTGTTGAAAGGAATTAATACTTCTGTACGTAAAATAGGAAATGATCTAGTCTCTCTTATCTGTAAAAAGTTTCATCTGAAATTATAAGGCTGTTTCCTACACTAGAATTCTCTCGCTTTCGCCAAATATATATCTGTCAAATATATATCTATCCGACTTTAAGTTTCAAAAGTATGTAATACGTACTAGCTCAGCCACAGAAGACAGACCTTACGTTTCAAATTTAGATTCATTTTGTAATTTATATTTCGTCGCTTTTTGGTGCAGACGAAATCAAGTCGAGGAGAGAAAACGGCTGATATGCGAGGCAGAGCGAGAGAGACGAGAGGCTATCCTCCGTAAAAATCAGGAGAGGGAGGCACGCATCGAGGCAAAGAAGAGGAATGAGAGGTCGCACATCGTTTTCGCGTTTGGCAGCTCCACGCCGCGGATGCTGGAGCCCGCCGATACCGGCGGCTCTACCTTCTGGGGTACCCGCAGAGCCACCTCTACCACCAATGTCATGATGTTTTCTGCTGCGCAGCCTCTCACTAGGAGATCCTCCGAGAGGGAGCTGGATGGCAGCAAAAAACGAGCCACTTCCGCTGGTGGACTCGACCGGAAACCGGGCGAAGGTCAGTCAATATGTTTCTTCAAATATCGATCGATCGATCGAATTACGTCAATTCACCAAAGTTCACTAAATATCATTAATTGGCAAGTAGGCGATGCGAGCACGTTAGTTACACATCGCACGTGGAAATTCGATTAACCCTTTCAGCGCGCGATGTTAAACTTTCTACATACGTATTTGGTCGTTTCTGTTTTATGTAAATTATTCTCAATCGAGAATTCTCCGGAGTAGACTTCCGAAGAATTTGGAATATTTCTGAATAGTTTCTCTTCTATGATATCAATCTACATACAAAATGCAATTTGATTCAACCAATGTTTGAACGATAATTTTATTCTCTGCTCACGAATATTGATCAATTTCAGTCTTGGTTAAAT